AGCTGCTGCTCTGGTGTGTTCAAATTAAAAAGGTGTGTTTGGTGAAGTATTGTGGGAGTGTAGAAAAAATTCTTCTTCGGGATTGTTTCGATGGGTTGGAAGTGTGAGGGGGTGGGATGCCTTGAAAGATTGATTTGGTGGCTCTCTTCCCAACTTGAGAGCAGTAGAGTTGTTGGGTAGTGATGGAAGTGGGTCTTCCTTTAACAGACCCACCTCTTCATTTGGGCGGAGAGTTTTCTTGAAGGTTGAGAAGAAGCAGGGGATTAGAAAGATTGTATTGAAAAAGTTAAGGTTGTATTGTTCTCTCTTATTTTTCAGGTTTGGAAATGTTGGACGTTTTTGGTGGCTTAGAACTGGAGGAAAAGAAGGCTTTATTTGGGAGTGGAGGGGTTCTTGGGTAGAGCTGTAGAATTTTTTTTCCTAGTGTTTAGTCTAAATGTGTTCTTAGTATTCAGTTTTGAAATGTTTGATGAAATGCTTCTTACTATTTTTCTTTGCATCATTATTTTGTGATATGGAATTGGCTTTGATAAGAGTGATGAAATGTCTCTTAGAATGTCTGTCACTTTTGCTTTGCATTATTATTTTGTGATGTCGAATTGAATTGGCTTCGACATGGGTGCAAGCTTTCTAATTCAAATCAGCCATTTGAAAAGTAAAAAATATGATATATCATCAGTAGAAATGATAGTATGATACATTTGAGTTCAGGTGAAATAATGCAAATGAGTAATTATTCATACATTCTTGGTCTTTAAGCAATTTGTTTTCAATATAACATATAGGTGATGGATTTGTTAAACTATCTTTCATTGCACTGCATTGAATTTTCATAGCCAGCAATTTTAAGCTGAATAACATCCAGGTTGGGTTACTATTTTAGGTTTTTTTTTTTAATTTTATGAATTTGATTCTTATTTTACTTTTGATTATTTAATTTTATTCATGGTGTTTTTTGTGTTATCTTTTCAGAATTTCTGGATCCATTTATAAGATTCGGATTCAGCACTTGTTAGGGATTTAAAACAGTGATTTGAAAACTATGCCACATCGAACCCGACCTATGACTGCACTTCTTGTATTTACTGGTCTCAATGTTGTGCTGGTATCAACCATCACTCCAGTCTATGATTTTGTATGCTTTCATCCATATTGGGAAAGAAGGGTATTTTCCATTTTCTCTTACATAACTTGTTATTTGCATAATATTTAACTAGCATCTTGTTAGGGTTCGTTGTGCTGTTATTTGTGTGCATGCAAATAAGTATTTTTTTTTAATAATTATTTTTATTTCCTTCCCTTAAAATGAGAACTTGTGATAGGATTTTGGAACCAGGATGTGTTTATTGTTATGTTTCACTGGAGAGGGTAAAGCTGTAGTCGGCCAGGGGATTGGTTAGTTTCTAGTGTGAGAACTGGAGGTTGACAATGTGAATATGTACCCCAGGGGGGCGAGGAGGGATGATTTCAAGGAAACTCGAAGATCATTTATGCACATGGAAGGATGAAGCTCTTGAACCCTCAGAATTTCTATTTATTGCTCCATCCACTTGGAGTATCAATTAGCATCTGACCAACAATTGCTAAAGCTTACAGTAGACTTTTGGTCAAACGAGAACCATCATTGCAAAAGTGGTTGAAGTTGAAGAGCACAATCAAGACCATCCTCCACACACTTAATTTCTACTAGAACATGTAGCCACTATACTATAATGGGTGATGATGTTAGAAACAGAAGCTGGACTATCCCTGGATGTATATAGGTTTAGTGGCATAATGGGAAGTAGTCATAATCAAATCTGCATTTGATGGTTCAAGTTTCCCAATTTATGACTTTTGTAATCGAGAAATTGAACTAGAAAAATGAAAGAATACAAAAGGGTAACAGGGAAATAGGTCGTCAGCAGCGCAAAAAGGATCCAAACAGAAACTAGCCTAATGAAGAAGAAAGAGTTCCAAACCAAAAGATCAAGGCCTAGCCAAATAATTAAAAAAGTCTTTAGAAACAGAACCTAAAATGAGATATTAATCCTAACAAAAGATCAGACCTCCTTACAAGATTTCTCCACACCCCTGAAGATTCTATTATTCCTCTCAATTCAGGTACACCATAAAACTTCAAAAGAAACCAGTCCTCCAAAGTGCATTACCTTTTCCCTAATGGGAGGATAAAACTGGATCATCTCCTGCAAAAGACCGATTTATGATGGTATGGCATTGCATATTCAAACTCACAGATTTGTAGCTATTTTTCCCTATATGGAGAATGGGTGAGTCAAAGAAGATAGAAGTATTGTTTTAGTATCGTTGGCGATGCCCTCAATTGGCATGGTCAATGTTGGCCAGAGCAAACTTGGACAGCTTGGTTTGAAAATTTTGCCCTTGCTAGCTAGTTTGAAGCTTGTGGTCAATGGTTGCTAAGGTTGAGTCAATGATGTGAGATTGAGGGGGTAAGATTGCCACTTTTGTTGATATCGAGAGATTATATTTAAAAATTATATATATATATATATAATATATATATTATCATAATGGTGTTTGCAGCCCTGGACGCCAAATAGTTGTCATTATTACTGACATCAAGCAACAAGATTTTATATTGTCGTAATGGTATTCTTTGGTGGTGACCTTGGGCTGCATGGAGATGTGCATCTAGATCAACCATGGAACTTTCTCATCCAGTTCATCCATCAAGATAGACTTGTCTTTAGTAGGTGTTTGTATTAATTGTTGTTGCTTTGATCAATTTCTTCTTTGGACTTAGTAAACGAGATTGTTTAACAAGGTAGTGGTAGCCCATGTTATTGTTTCTATTTTGCTTGGCTCTGCCCGCTGAACCTTGGAGTTGCAACAATGATGTATGAAGCATTCCTACCATACACTAGATGATGTCATGATTCCTTGGGACCTTCGTCTAATGGAAGTCCTCATTTAAGCAAGCCTGTACAACATGCCTTAACTATGCTCTTAATGGAAGGTTCTGTTGTATGATGGATGTGCCACCAACAATTAATGCTTTATACTGCAGCCTTTGGTTGCACTGTGGATAAGATTAGAAATGTAGGAGGAAACGTCCATATTTAGATTGCTGTAGGGGTATTTGGACAATGATATTTCTTCATTGTTATCTAACCACTAGGGATTTAACTTAGAATAATCGGTTTCAATTTGCAGTTACTTACCTTGAGGACAAGTTAACAGTTCGGTTGTAGATGTTGGACTGATTCACAGGGTCGGTGGTTTCAAAGTGTAGGTGCACTTTAAGATGACAAGTCTCTTAGTTGCCCTATGGAAATCAAGTGTTACCTGAAAGCACACTTGAATAAATAAATTAATGATCAATGTCCAATACATTGAAATGTTAATAAAAAGTAAAGCAACAATATCTATAGTTCCAATGTTCCATACAAACTTCAAGTCATTAAATGTAATTAGAAGGATAATCTAATTCTAATAACCAATAGTGGAAGTGGGACCAACGAAATCTTTGAAAAGGAAATAAGAGGAAGTTGGAGGGTGAATCAAACAACCAAAAAAGAGAATTTTCTTCTTTATGGTTAAAATCGAGGCATAATTGTGCATATTGAAATCATTATTTACAAAATATTTTATTTTGGAAGGAATAACGACTTTAGTTTTCCTTTAAAAAAATTTATCATTGGTGAAAACACGGCACAACCTAAAAGCTAACAAGGGAAGAAAAAAAAAAGTAGCTTTGCATATTTGTATTTCATAAAATTTAGTTGTAAAAAAAACATAAAACTGTTTTGGAAATGGTTTCCAAACAACCTATATTGTTCTTGAATCTCTCTTTGTTCTTACTATTCTGCATCTTCCATCATTCTGTAATGGACAGTTCTTTTTCCCTTCAACTATTTCAGCCATCAGAGCTATCAATGAAATACTACTCCATGTCTCCATGTACCATATTTGATGATGTTAGCCAAGTAGTTACGGGAGGGGGTGAACGAGGGAAAGGAGTCTCACTTAGTTAGGTGGGAAGTGGCGACTCAACCTTTGGATCTTGGGGGTCTAGGCATAGGTAATTTAAGAGCATGTAAGGAGGCCTTGGTGGCCAAGTGGTTGTGGTGGTTTCCTTGAGAACATAACACCTCATGACACAGGGTCATTGTGAGCAAGTATGGCCCTCATCCTTTTGAGTTGTTCTCAAACAGGGCTTTGAAAGGCACCCACAGAAATCTGTGGTGGCTTTTTGATGGGGTTTCCTGGTTTTTCCAGTTTGTGCAGTGTTCTATGGGGGTTAGATGGATTCTTATTTTTTGGGAGCACAAGCGATTGGAGGATAGATCCCTCTCCTCTTTGTTTCCTCGTATACCATTTGTCCTCTAACAGGAACCACTCAGTGGCCTTGGTTCTTCCATCTTTTGGGAGTTCTTCCTCTATATTTCTTGGTTGTTGTCCACTGTCAGATATAAAAATGACAGATATTGTGGCCCTCCTTTCTTTGATTGGGGACTTTTCTATTTACTCAGGGAGAAGGGATTTACGCCTCTGGGGGCCCTAATCCTTCTGAAGGGTTCTCTTGTAGATCTCTCTTCCATTGCTTGGTGAATCAATCTCTCTCCAGTAACCCTGTCTTCTCCTTGTTGTGGAAGGTCAAAATCCCCAAGGAGATTAAATGTGGTAGATCCTTCTTGGCAGAGGTAATATCTTGGATTGTGTTTTGGGGTAGTCTTTCGTGCTAATAGGGCCATAGTGTTGTATCCTGAGAGCACCTGAGGACCCAGATCACCTTTTGTGGAGTTGCGATTATGCTTACGTGATATGGAGTGGATATTTTTAAATGTTTGGTTATAGTTTGGTCTAGCTTAGAGGATGTAGCCTGTTAGCGGGGTGGGCCTTCTTCATGTGCCCTTCCTTGACGAGGGTTGTTTCTTGTGGTTGGCCTGTTTTTGTGCTTCTCTTTGGGGTACATTAATTTGAGAGAAATAATAGAATCTTTAGAAGGATTGAGAGATCTTTGGAGAAGGTTTGGTCCCTCGTTAGATTCCATGTTCTCTTTGGGCCCGGGTGCTTAAGGACTTTCGGAGCCCCCTTTTTTTAGTTTGGCTTCTTCTAGGTTTGGATTGTTTCTTTGTACGCCCTTGTATTCTTTCATTGGAGAAGAATGTTACTAGCTTTGCTGTTATTTTGTATTGCACTTGCCTACCTACGTACCCACTACTTAGATATAGTAGTTTGTGAGCTTTTCTGCTTGGCATCCACAAACCTGTTAATATTCTCATATACATTTACTATTACCAGATCAAAAAGTCCCAAAAAAATAAATGGGCCTCTTTATTATATGTTTTTGTGATGGATGTTCTAATATTCTGGCCGCAGAGAGAGCGTCGTCAGCAGCAACGAGAAGCTGCTATGGGGAAAAGTTTTTAACAGGCAGAAGTATCATCTACAACGCCTTAGGATTGTACATTTCATCTAAGTTCCTCACTCTCTGATATTTTTGGGTTGGATTTTCTCTTATCCTTTCTAACACTCATGGAAATGAAGATAAGAATGGGATAAGAAAGCCCTTTTGCTTGCCAACTGCAGGATTTATTGTCCACTGATTGCATATTGTTGAAAAGAATCAGAACTGGACCATTAGATTCACTAGCTGTCATGTTTGATATGTCATAATCAACCAACCTTCTCCTCAATGCCCTCTTTTTTTTTTTGTTAATATCTGCTTTGCTTTAGCAGTTTGCTCTGCCAATGATACTTACTGATAATCTACACTAAGTTCCTATGTTCTTCCACATGGTCTCTTTCAAGTGCTGAGAGTGATACTTTTACTGTCTGCTCATAAATTCACTACGTGGACGAAAATAGTTGGTTGATTTTTTCTGCGAGATAAATACGTATTACATTGTTGTAGTTTTAACTTCTCTCTCTTTTGAGTGAATATTTATACCTTGTGATTCAAATGTGAAATGCACTCGTCTCGTTGTTGGGGGTCTGTTTGCAACTATATTTAACTATAGGGTTATATTTGCAAACAAGATAGTGATGTTGACTTTTACGTAGGACATCACGTTCGTGTCAACATGCGTATACTTGGGGAAAATAATTTTTTTTTTTTTTACTAGAGTGAATTTGTAATTGCATTTTGCATCGTCTTTGTCATTTTAATTTTATAGTTCCATGGAGTGGGGAACTGTACCATGTCACTTTGCCTACCACATATCTAAGTTTGAATGATACCTAGGTGCTCATCAGTTAGCACACATTTCTTGTTTCCCATTATTATATTTTTTACTAATAGGAAAGAAAAATAGAGAAAGGAAGATTTCTTTTTTCCTAATCATAGAGCTATAGTAAATGAGAGCTTTATAATTTCCTTTTCTTGCTTTAGATGTTCTAAATATATTCAGTTGTGGAAATATGATCTTTTGGTATAGTTGATGCAACATTTTCTTGTGGATCCTACCATTCATTAATGTGGAGTGAAGATTTTTCTTTTGATGGAATGATGATAAGATCGATCAATCAATTAGCAAAATCATGTTCGAGATTATTTGATTTTTTTTTTACAACATGTGGGGGTGAGAGATCAAACTCACAACCTCTTAGTTCGAGATGTTTGGATTAAATCTTCGAAATACTTTAAGATGGTGAATATTTATGTAGTAAACATATGGTTGTCTTGCATTATTAAAAGATTAAATGCCTAACCCACTATTAATAAGGATCTTACAAGTAGTAAAGTGATCAATGCTTAACACCATTTTTGCAACACATTGTATTCACACGCTAGGTTTCATTTGATAATCATTTCGTTTTTTT